CCCGTTATCGTCCCTAACCCACCCGAGTCATCATCTAACCCAAACCCACCAGTTACCAACCCTAACCCACCCGAGTCATCATCTAACCCAAACCCACCCGTTACCAACCCTAACCCACCTGAGTCATCATCTAATCCGAACCCACCCGAATCATCATCTAACCCGAATACACCCGTTACCGTCCCATACCCACCCGAATCATCCAGCCCAAACCCACCGGAAACAGTTCCTACACCAGGCCCACCTTATTATGAGCCGGGCCCATCGACCCCGACATATACTCCAACTCCGTCCGGCGATATTCCATCACCGACGGGATCAATTCCAAGCCCATCATCGGGGTTTTTACCTCCGATCGTCTATCCGCCACCTATGGTGCCACCGCCATCTGGCGTGACCTCGACCTCGGCTTACTGGTGTGTGGCTAAGCCCACAGTACCTGACCCAATCATTCAAGAAGCCATGAACTTTGCATGTGGGTCAGGAGCTGATTGCCATTCAATTCAGCCTAATGGGCCTTGCTTTAAGCCTAATACATTGTGGGCCCATGCTTCGTTCGCTTTCAATAGCTATTGGCAACGGACCAAAGCTGCCGGTGGCTCGTGCACGTTCGGCGGAACCGGCATGCTTGTTACCGTCGACCCAAGTACAGATTTGCATAAAGTTTTTCAAATATTATTATTTATTTTTTGTTATGAAATTCCTTAAAATATTGATATTCATTTAACTTTGGCTCTTACTTTAATGACTACAGGCTTTAATGGGTGCCATTTTGATTTCTTCTGATTCATGAAGAGTAAGACGAAGACGTCTCTCACTGTTGTCTTTGTCACCTTTCATTAGATACGAATAATATCAAATAAATTTTGATATAATACGTTAGGTGGGGTCTCTCTCACTTGTAAGTTGTAACCCATCAAAAACTTTATAAATACCAATTTGCTTGGGAATGACACAATTACAAATCTTATGCTAAATTCGTATAATTGGCTTTTTGCTAATGGAATTAGGTCTTCTAGACTTCAGTACGTTGCATCTACTATAACTACTATCACTAATAATTCCTTTTATTTATACACAAATTCCTTTTCCCCTACAATGATATTGCAACTTTGAAATAAAGTAGTATAGTCTATTCGCATTCTCATTACGACATCTTTTTCTTTTTAAAAACTCTACTCTGGTAGAGTGTCATTGTGTCAGATACGTGGAACTGCTACTTGTGTTTTTGACTCTTTTCTTACTTTCACTAGTTTTGTTGTTTGTATATTCACCACAGAGATTAGCAAATACAAAACAGTTTTTGGCAAGATGTAATTAAAATATTCTACGTAGAAATAATTAATAATGTCACCTGATCTACCTAATTCACTATATAGAATAAAAAAGTTATTGTACAATGCAAATTAAAATGAATAACCCGCATGTGTTAGCATGAGATGGTTTGGTTTCGACTATAACCAATGCCATAATTCGTTACGCCTGCATGTTTTTTGTTAAATAAAATAACACATTTTTGAAAATGAACTACTATTAATTCGAATTTGTAACACTAATGTTTTCGGAACAAAAAACTTTCACCAAAAGTGTTTCGGCGAAATCGGATGTCAATGTATGTATTTGTAAAAACACCATTTCTACGATACGACAAAACTGAATATTATTTAGATTAATGATTAAAAAACAAATACAAAATAGTTTTAATCTATACCGAAATTACGATAAACGAAAACGATTTGTGTGGAGGCGAGACACTTTCTCTAATTTTTTAATTGCCCGTAGTGTGCCGGTTTTGATGCAATCAAAATCCCATGATACAACCATACAATCGACTATTCCGCAACACTCGAAAATATAAGCTACTAACTAAGAATCTATGTGTACTCTCAGAAACTCAGACACAAAAACAAAAATAGAAATAAAAGAGAGAGAAAATTTGTGAGGAATTTTGTGTTATCAATCGTATATCGAATGAGAAGAATATGGCAACGCCTTTTAACGTAGGAGCATGAAAGGGAGAATAGAGAATTCAATCTCATTATGACTAAAACGTGAATTGATGTTTCATATGTTACAAAAATCAAACCAAATTGAATTTGCAATTAAACACTAACATCAATTGACGTTATACCTCATCAAATTGGAAGAGATATGTGTTGACTTAATCAACACTTATATTCAGAAGGAAATTAAGCCGAACGTTCGGTTCAGATATTTATTTTTTCCAATAAATCAAGTGTACACAAGATTTTAAACCTCGTTATGAGTTCTTCACTTTATATATTTAAGGATTTTCATCCAAACTTCCAATGTGGGATATTTGCTAATATTTACACTTAAGCCAAATTTCAAAGTTTTTCAAGTTTTCTAATTCAT